TATATATTATATTATATTATATATAATATATTATATATTATATATATATTATATATTATATATTAATTATATTATATATTTCTCATAAATTTATATGTTAAAAACACACACGTGTCGATGTCACTTCGCAGTTGTTCCGAGAAGTGAGGATAATGAAGATGCTCGACCATCCGAACATAGTGAAGTTATTCCAAGTAATCGAGACTGAAAAGACGCTGTACCTGGTAATGGAGTACGCGAGCGGTGGCGAGGTCTTCGACTACTTGGTACTACACGGAAGGATGAAGGAGAAGGAGGCGAGGGCGAAGTTCAGGCAGATAGTTTCTGCTGTGCAATACTGCCATCAAAAGAAGATAATTCACAGGGACTTAAAAGCCGAGAACCTGTTGCTCGATAGTGAAATGAATATCAAGATTGCCGATTTCGGTTTTAGCAATGAATTCACACCTGGTAACAAGTTAGACACATTTTGCGGCTCGCCGCCGTACGCCGCGCCGGAACTCTTTCAAGGTATATTTTTTCGCGTCGAATTTATTAACGCACGAGGTGTCAAATGTTTTATATTCGAGCGTTATAAAATTTTAATTCGCGCTCGGGGGGGGGGTTGTTTTTTTTTTTTTTTTTTGTTTCACAGGGAAAAAGTACGACGGTCCTGAAGTGGATGTGTGGTCGTTGGGCGTAATCTTGTATACCCTGGTGTCCGGCTCACTGCCTTTCGATGGTTCGACGTTAAGGGAATTGAGGGAAAGAGTATTAAGAGGGAAATATAGAATCCCGTTTTATATGTCTACCGACTGTGAAAACCTTCTCAAGAAATTCTTGGTGCTCAACCCGACGAAGAGAGCCTCATTAGAGGTATGCGCGCAAATTTGATTTCAGTTTAAACCTGTATTTTTTTAATTTTTTTATTTTCTCTCACGCGTGATATTTGATCACACGGTCTTATTAATTATATTATTTACAAACATAATCCTATAAGCCAAAGTTCAAGCAGAGCACAAGATGTGCAATTTGACGATCTTTGTTACCTGCAGAGCATAATGAAAGACAAGTGGATGAACGTGGGATATGAAGACGACGAATTAAAACCGTACTTAGAACCTGAACCGGATTACAGAGACCACAAGAGGATAGGTGAGTCTGCCAGTATGTACATAACACTTACTACCTACCGTTTTTATGTTCGATGTTTCACTCATTATGAACATTCCACATTTATGTGAAATTTATAAATCAATTAACAGAGATATTGGTGTTTTTTTAAATCTCTTTCACAGTATATTAATCATAGATCTTAGATATTGTTTTTAATGGGGAATGTACCTGATGCAACTTTCAAAAGAGAATGTTCATGATCGAGTGTTCTTTATAATTGCAATATATGTATGGATCGCTATATAAAATTAATATATTCATACTACTAAAATATATCAGACAAATTATATCTCTTGCTTAATATTATTTGGTTAACAATACTGTGTGCTGTGACAACTTTCTATTCAAAAAACTGTCTTTTAAATTATATGTGATTTTGATACACGTGTATGTCTCGCGTGTCAAGTAAGAGAGAGATTTGTGCGTGCACAAATTTTTATGCACAGAGCGTGAAAGCACCATGGCCTGTTTTTCTCGAGAGTCTTTTTTGTTCGGTCTGATATATTTGTGTGTTTGTATGTGTGTGTGTACGTCTGTGATTTGCTTTATTTAGTTATCGCATGAGAATATATTTTTTACAATCAAAGAGGAAAGTTTTATTAACCCCCCCCCCCCCACAGTTTTATTAATAATAATAATAATATTTAAAGCAAACTAATTTTTTAAGAAGCATCGAAGTATAAGGACACACGTAAGAATCAAACAAAATCCCAGTAGCTCTTAAAAAAAAAAACATTTTAATGCATTTGAAAATATTAAACGATTTATAAGGAAATTTTTTTTTTTGTACTTCTGGTTCTTTTTCTGCATTCTTTTTAATTGTTTCTTACGATGTATGGTATTTAGAAATTAATTTTAGCTCTTAGCGGATATGACTATGCCGTCACGCGTTTCCATTTCAGAGGCTCTGGCCAGTTTGGGATACACTCGAAGTGAAATAGAAGATTCCTTAGGACAAGCAAAATACGATGACGTGTTTGCCACGTATTTGCTATTGGGCAGAAAAACGACGGATGTGAGTATTGCGCAAAAACACAAAGAGCGATATCGATGATTGCACCGCATTTAAATTGCTCTCTCTTTTTTTTTTTTTTTTTTTTTTTTTACACGTGCAAATTTTCATTTTCGCCAACAGCCTGAAAGCGACGGTTCACGGTCAGGCAGTTCGCTGTCGCTGCGTAACATTCCACCTCAAGTCAGCTCAGGTGGCGGAGGAGGAAGCAGCGGAGGAACAGGTGGCGCGGTACAGAGTCCATCGCACAGAGGTGTTCACAGAAGTATTTCTGCTAGCAATCCAAAACCTAGTAGACGGGCCTCATCTGGTGGTGAAACTCTTCGTAAGTTTTTCCTTCTGCAGCTTAACCGGTATTTTTTAACACGAATATGGTAGTTTAAATTTCACTGTTAGACAGGCGTTTGGATAAAAGGACGTTTGACAAACTCGGGTAAGACAAAAAAGATAATTTTTGTTTTTTTTTTGTGGAACATCGTATGATATTTGTATATATGACATTTTTGTGGTGAAAGTAATTACGCTTACAAAAAGCTTTGTAGGGGTGACGTAAATCACACTGTTAAATTTGTCTGTTAATAAATTGTTATATTTGTAATAAAAAAATCAAGCAAGTTGTAACAAACGAGGAAATGTGGTAATGAAAATTGAAGTTGTTATCGATATGTTGTTAGCGTCAGGTTGTTGTGTCTCTTGAAAACTTAGAGGAGTTTCGTTACGTTTATGGTATAATTTTTCTTTTCTATTAGGAGGCGCACCTAGTCCAGGTAATGCAACGAATCACAATCACGCGACTGCGGTGACTGGCGCGACTGTAACCGGAAGCGGCGGTAGCAATTTTAAGCGACAAAACACTGTGGACGCAGCCACGATCAAGGAAAATAGCGCTCGTGTTTCTGCAAGCCGGCCCTCCGCACCTAAAAACAGTCAACCACCCGGACAATTAGATACCAGTGAGTTTACTTTGTTCTTGAAACAACAAGTTAGAGATACCAGTAAGGTATCTTCCGTCAACAGATCGTATATTCAATTTTATTTGTCTATGTGCTATTGTTTTCCTCGTGACGCTTCAGCGAAAATACTTCCTTGGATGAGGTTGCTTTGGATAGGGTTGCCAGTAGCTTAGTTTATCAAAATTACGATATATGAGCAATTTGTGATTTATTGTTTAATTTTGTTTTACTGGTCAATGTTTATAAGTTACATTTTGTCATTTTTTTTATTGATAATTTCATTTTTTTTTATTGTGTTGTCATCAAACAAGTCTGAATCATAACATTTCAATGTCATCGTACACCTGTTTCTTATATACAATTATATCATATTGCCGTAAGATTATCGCATATTCGTATGTATATGCGTGACATCCCATTTACATACAGTCTTTATGATGTGTTGACATGCGCAAAATTATATATAGACAGTCTTTTAACGTTTTACTTTACTTTCGCTTTTAATCCTATCTCGTTCTAATGTAGAAACAGATTTATTAAGTCGTTTATTAAAGGCTGACAATTCCTCTTACTGACTCATTGTTCTTTTTGTTTGTTATAATTTAAAGTATGTCGCTTCTTGTTTTGTGTTGAACCACATCTAATGAGGCTTGCAGTGACGATGTTCATTCTAGGCGTGGGTACAAGTCCTGGTGGTAAGACAAGGGTAGGCAAGAGCAACACAATGAACGCAGGGGTAGGTGGTGGTCGGCCTCTCACCTCACCTGCTCCTGGTTCTGTTGGTCGACGTAGTACCATCTCCTATGATCAAGCGAAAACGTCATCTTCATCTACCGAAAGAACCAACGAAGTGCCCAGGTATAGTGGTATCCAATTATTTTTATTCGAAAATACGCGCGTGACTTATTATTATCTTACTTTACGAAAATATATCGAATATAAATATAAAATCGATAAACAGAATTTATATGTATATATATATATATATATTATATATATTAACAAAATTCTTGATTATATATATTTCGTTTTTATATTCCATATATTTCTCACTTCTCGATACGTATTTTAACTCGTGGGATATTGGACGTGTATATAGAGTTTCCTACACACAAGATCGCAGAATTTGTAATCAACTGTTAGTTTACAAAAAAAACATAAGTTTACGAATTTTTCAGATAGTCCAGTATCTCATTTTAATTAAACGTGTAAACATTACATAGAATAAAGAAGAAAAAATTTTTATTGCATCTCGTGTGACGATATTTCTAATGTTTTTTCTATTGACTTTAACACTCACTTTCACTAACTGTAGCGACTGATTAATTGTGTGTGTTAAATTACACTAAACCCATATGAGACTCGACAGAACAATAAGCCGTAATCGAATGAAAAGTAACCAAAAAAAGTCTGTCAATTAAAAGCCCCCGGGAAGTTTATTTGTTTGTTGCATCGCTCTAGCATGTTGGCTGCTGCCTGCCAATCGTTCATTGCAACATCACTTTCTTTATGGCTTGACAGATGTATCAAACAGACAATCTAATTTAACGTTTTTACATATACATGTACATGACGCTTGCTAAAGTGATATTTAGACCCACATTCACATATACGTTACTCTGTTTCAATCTCAAGTATATATCTAGTCGAGAAAGAGGTGCTCAGACACACATTTCATTAACATCATCATTATACATTTTGTTTTTCATCCTTACGTTGTAGCATCATGTTCTGTTCTCTTGTCACGTACAAATATTTCGCGATTACATTAGCTCTCTGTAGCAGTTAGTATTTTTTATTCTCCTTTTTCCCATCCTTATATTTCCTTTTAACAATTATTCCCTCTTTGACAAAAATTTCTGTTACAAACAATCCTTCTATATCTTTTCAAATTATTTGCGAAGTAACAAAACGAATATGTCTTCAAAGATGTATAATGTGTTTTTTTTTTTTTTAATCAATCAAATGTCAATAAACGAAATATAAGAATTATTACATTTGTCAACTGTATCAGCGTTACGAGATATTGTGTAACATTTTAAAATCTCATAAAATTGTTGTTATTATCTCGCCCCCTGTATTTTGCTTCTATATACAGCTTCAGAGAAAAATTTGTTACTTTCTTTGTAACAATGGCAAAGATCAAAAACTAAAGAAAATAGAAAATTAAATCGTGGAAGATAGAGCCCGGCAATTTGCTGATTAGTTTTATGCACAGCCTGGGCGAGGGCACTAGACCGACGCGGGGTCACACCAAGTCTGCGAGCATCAGTGCAGGTCACCGTTCCTCAAGTGGCGTACCCCCCAGCGACCATTCACTACTGGACCCTCAACCACGCAACGCCCACAACTCCTTACTCGCCACTGCTGACCCTCTTAGGCAGAGGTACAGGTCCCCAAATGCCTAATACAAAAAGAACCAAAACAAAAAACCTGCATACGTTCCTGCATAGTTTTTTATTAAATATTTTTCGGATAAAAATTTGTTCCTTCTTTCATTTGGTTACTTCTTTCTTGGGCCACTAACTCTCTTAGGGCAACTAGGTCTTCCTTATATCACTAGTCTCTTTCATAAAATACTTCGTCACGACGAACGACGAAGATAATCCTCAAAAGCAACAGCGCGATCTTTTTCTTCGAGAGCGTTCTATTGAAATAATATCGAAGAAAATTGTCAATAGGGTTCTCTAGGATAGTTTCTGGTCATTTGTTTTTTTTTTCACATTGGTTTTTGTTCATTCTCTTTTCGTTACTTCTCTCTCTCTCTCTCTCTGTTTATTATCTTTTTCCTTTTATCTCTTTCATTTGCATGTAATTTAATCCGTTCGCTAGATTTCTATTAAACTGCATCACAGCTTCAGGCATCTATCAATTTCTATATATGAGTCATTCAGATTTTCCTACCGCATTATTAAATGACATATCTCATTACAAGTCATTGTATAGTTTCGACATGTTCACGTTTCATTATTAGTTTGCAAGTTTTTCATGACTTTTAATGAATATGTAATATAAATTGCGATATTTCAACTTTTTAACTTTATTATATATCGACGGATATATATATATATATATATATATATATGCAATATATATACATATCATACAATATATGTATATATATTGTATATAATACATATATATGTATATATATTGTCTCATATATATATGTATATATATTGTCACATAATTGTCATATAATCTCGCTCATGTATACACTCAAGAAATCTTATTTCAAATCAATCATAAGTTTTGTACACTAATAGCCTAGCTGTAGATAGCACAAATCTATATGAATGCGTATAAATATTGTGTACTCGTAAAATGCGATAACTCTCTCTCGAAATTACCTTGTCATCATTCATCGTCATTTTCTTCTCACGTCATTCCATCACATTCATTTATTTAAAACGTTATCTACTATAATAATAACATTTTCACAATAACAAGTTTTTAATGCATGCGCATTCAGAAAATTTATAGTAGCCATTTTTAATACAATATATAACTTATCTCTTTATAGATATATCATTGATTAATACGAACTAATTTTTCTTCTAACAAAAAAGATACTCGCTTTATTATTAACTCTATACGCTAAAGCTTATTTTGTGAGACATTGCTTGCGCGTGTTAAAATTTTTACCAATAGAAACATATCTATGTATATAGCACATTTAAGCAAAACCTTTTTTTAATCTAGTTTCTTATGCATTTTTTAACATTAGTTTTGCTTAGATAATATTATAATAAACATTTAGTTTTACTTAGATAACATTATGATAAACATTTAGTTTTACTTAGATAATATTATAATAAACATTAGTTTTACTTTTAGATAATATATTATACACGTACATAACAAATACTTTTCGCTATAATTTATGTAAAATGTAAGATCGCTGACAATTTATATTTTACTTATAATTGTCGTGCGGTTTGACAACACAGAAATTTGTTATTTTGTTATCAGTTTGGGTGTGTGCACAAGTAACAGACTGGCCACAGCCACTACGCCAGCATTTCCACGGAATGTTCCGAGTCGCAGTACGTTCCATTCTGGCCAAAATAGAGCACAGCGAAATCACACTCAGGTGAGTGTTGTCAAAAAAAGATTGATTTGAAAAATAAAAGAATTTATATATATCTTTTGAGATGTTTCATGTGACAAAATTTTAATGTAACTTCCCTTTAGGGTCACACGCAAACGCAGGACACAAATGCAATTAGCCCACTAGCAAGGCCGTCCTTTTTCTCGAAATTATCCTCGAAGTTCTCCAAACGGTAAGTTTTTATATTCAATTAATATATATATATATATATATATACACACATATATATATATATGTATATATATATATGTAGTAATTATCAATATTTGACAGCATGTTAATAACGCGTACGACTCTAATATTTTATATATATATATATACACATTTTCATACACAAATATATACACATGTATATACACATATTGAGTGTGTAAATTAATTCGGTGCCTTTACACCTAACGTTTTGTAACTCTTCAAATTAAAATTTTTTTCTTGTACTGTGGTGATTTGAAAGTGTCAATCTTAAGCTTCAAAGAAGCACTATAATAGTATAATCTTACGAGACACAACAGTGTGTACACAATGGGGGCCGAAAAGCATTTGAACTGCGTGCAAAAACTTCTGGCCAACATCGAAGCCCAAATATTCGCGCAAGAAAAATTCTGCTTTGCATCTGGTGGGATGTGAAGAGTGTAAGTCTATTATGAGTTGCTGGCCAGACTATTAATGCAGATTATTACCAACGGCAACACTTATTCGTTCAAGCTTTTGAGAGCAAAAGAGAGAGTCTTTATAATAGTCTGACTTGCCTAACTCCGACGGAACTAGGCAAGTGATTTTGCAGGACGACCAACGCTCTCGACCACATGCCGCAAAAGGAACGAAGGATCTTGCTTGTACATTTGGCTGGGAAATTCTTCCTCATCCGCGGCTTATTTAGCCCCGTCAGATTACTATCTATTTCGATATTACTTTAACATCGTTTGACTTTTCATTTTAAAACAGTTGAGGTTCGAAAAAAAAGCATTGATAACTTTTTTGAATCAAAATTGCCAAGTTTTTTCCGCGGGGGCATTTATCAGCTGGCCGATAGATGGAGTAAAAAGTTTTATGGAAAATAATGGAAATTATTTTGAACATTAAAACTTGTATTTGGTTTTTTTTTTCTTAAATAAACTTTGAAAAAGGCACTGAATTAATTTGCACACCTTATATATATACAAATATATGTGTATATATTATTGTCCATTTTTTACAAATATATATAATTTTTTTTTTTTATATATTTTTCTATTCCACGTATTTTATCATTTTCAGTCCTTGTGTAAGATGTACACACACACATAATTAAATCGGATTATGTACTTAAATCATTTTCTTCGATTGACACAACTAAAAATATTCAACAAAATTTTTTTCAAAAATGCACATATAAATACATAAGAGCAAAGCCTTAGAATAAGACGGGATATTAATTTAGATGATAAATAAATGTTAAAAAAAAAAAAAACGTACCAAAGTCTTTAAGAAAGTTAGCGACTTAATTTTTGACACGTAATTATTGCATGTACACTTTAATTAAACGTTTATTATAATAATGTTAAAGGTATTCACGTTAAAAGAAAAATCCAATACGAACTGAAATTCTTTTTTTTTACTTTGGATAAACATTGTTTGTATAATTTATTTATATTATCCTCTTTCATTATACTTCTGTTTATATTTTTTGTTTTGTTTTTAAATATATTATTTGTTGTTAAAGATAAACCGTCACACTCGATGATATTGTGTAGTAAATATATATAAATAATTTAAGCTATGTTGTCACGTACTTATTCAATCTTAGAAATACAAAAAGACTTGAGTGCTAGCACAAAAATATCGTAGCTTTGCAGTGGACCCTCAGTGCATGCTTAAGCATCGTAAACATTTAAGTGTGTTGAGAATTTTTAATATACTTAATTATATCTCACGTATATATACATATACTGACAATTTGATAAAAAGTGTACCTATTGTTTGCATGCAAATGATGTTTCTTTTTTTTTTTTTTAAGGATGCACAATGACTATGTAATTCTGAAAAATTTCTATATACATTGATATATATAATTTTTTTACATAATGTGTAAGGATACGTTACATGATATGATTAGTTTAACAAATCCGATGAGCCAGCAGCGACCATTATCATTGAAAGCCGCAGAATATGTAGCTTATGCATTTTGTTACGTAGCTTTATTTATACTTACTTATAATACCATTTTTTCATCCTCAAGCGTATCGCGTACTTCACCTATATATATATATATATATATGTATTGTTTTCTTTTTTTTGGTTTGTCCCATAAAAATTTGCTTGACAAACTGTTTGTCCTTTAGCTAAATTTGGAGTAGAAATATAATATGGATCTCGTCGTTGTTCTATATAGGAGTTTAGTCGTTCTCTACATAAATGCGTTAAAAAAATATAAAAAAAAAAACACACATCACCTCCTCCGTACAGAGGATTCGATCTGTTGTCTTGCGTCGTGAATTATAATCGTTTGTAAGATTCGCGCTTAATAAAGACGAATTCTCTCGCGATTAGATTGGTGGAGAAGTAACACGTATACACACACTGCTCGGCTGTGAAAATTCAGAGGCCACCTCGCATACTCATTGTGCATCCCTTTTTCTCACTCGATTGTAGCGAGGCATATATATCTTTGATTTGATATTATTTATATATATATATGGGACTCTTTTAAGTTTTAATCATATCGCACATTTAAATGCAAAACGGCAGCGCATATAACACACACACACACACAGACACATATATTATAAAAGAAAAAAAGAAAAACATACTTGGTGCTGAGGATGGAAGACTGCAGAATAACGAGAGTATATACGATGTAGTTTTGTAGACAAATTTATTGTATACAATATTTCTTTGTCCGTTTTCACTTTCATGATATGGTCACTGTACTCATCATCTCAACGTGGTTCGAAATGATTTGGTACAAGAAAGTGTGTACAAATTTTTTTTCACGGCATCCATAGCCATTGGTGCATCAGAACATATTCTTGAACAGTTCTTTCTTATTTATACTAATGTATTCATATATCGGTATATATATATTTTTACATTATTATATGCTGCAGGCCATGAATCGTATAAGCTTCTTCGCTTCCATCTCTCGAGATCCGACAAGCGAAAGGCCATAGAGACACGGGTTTTAACACACACGACCGATGTGCCGAGACAGTGTCATGAGCAAAATGCAGCATGCCCGCGAGAAAACGCGCACCTAATGTTAAAAAAAAAATTAGGGCAAAGAGGCAAAAGTCTGTGTTGTCAGTCGACCGCTCAATGGATATTGTGATGCATCTAGGAAAATGATATGAAAAAGTTGAAAAAAAACTCTTGGCTCCGTTATTCTGTGGTACCCAAGATTGAGTGTAACTTACTTTTTTAGGAACTTTTACACGTTATAGATATATATATAATAGTACTATATATACATATATAATATATCGCGCATTATCTTTAAGCATACATATATATATATATATATATATGTATATATATATGTACATATATGTATATATGTATCGTAAAAGATATGTATCGCGTCCGAATGTATACATATGTATGCGTATATTCACATATATACATGTATATATACACAAATATATATGTATATATGTATACGTTACATATACATATATATATATATATATATATAAATTTGAATATATTAATTAATAAAAAAAAAAAAGAAAAACCAGTATAACGTCTTCCTGAAAACACGAACCAGGAAATCGCCTTACGCACTATATATATATATATAGATGTAGCAACCGAAATCTGTGCCTTTCCTAAATCAGCCTGCCCATTATAAAACACACACCGTATGTTATATATATATATATACTTTACGTCGTTTATATATCTCAAGAGAGAAAATCTGATATTTTCTTCGTATTTTTGTACCTGTGTCTTTCACGTACCATCGGAAGTCTTTTAGCTTCGACTCATTTTTTGTTTTTCGTTATGTGTAAACAATTAACTTTTAAACAAAAGTGTATAAAATTTAAAAAGCGCGAAAAAAAAACAACCGAAACACAGAGAACGGTGAACGGAGATGCCTTCCGAGAGACGTAAAGTATATTTGTATATTTAGCCGCTAAAATATTCAACAAGTATAAGTGTCTTTGGAACATTTGTTATATATATTTTTGAGCATCAAACATATTTTCATACATCTAGCAGCGGCGGATAGCGACAGGCATAGATTAATTTTCCTGTAATTAAAGTTAGTGCGACTTAGCAATCCCCGCAAATGTGATGAAATGAGTTTCACTTTGTAAATCAACAATGTGTGACGTACAGAGAAACAGTGCAGAAGTCTCTTGCAACTTCTTGATATTACATTTGAGACGTAATATTTTTTTTTTTTTTATGACAAACACGTTTACATATTCTCTTCCTCATTTTTCCACTACTGTTTTTAATTTAGTATCCTTTTTACTCTCTCTCTCTCTATATATATATATATATATACATACCGTCCTCTAGAAACGTAAAATCGACGAGATGCTTGTTGAACGTGAAAGTACATACATACATATTCGATCGTAATGAGTAGAGACTTCCGAATACGAAGAAAATGCTATATAGTTGTACTAATAATACTAACCGAACAACAAAAAAAAAGACAGATTTTATTATAATAGAGTACATACATGATTGTTCGTACTTTGACAGATTTTTTTAAAGTGAAGGATGAAGTCTCGCCTTGTTTCCCCCGAGCTGAAATGAGAGCGAGCGGCATGCAAGATATATCGCGCCATGGCAATCGCAACTTCCATCAATGTATCATTTTATTTCGTTTCGATTTTCTCTTAACTTTTTTTTCGTGATTTACAGTGAGGACTAAGTATAATGTTGTATATTTTTGTAACATCATAGCGCATTGTTTCTTCCTTTTTTCTTTTTTTTCTTAGGAAAATATGTTGGATGACACGTCGTCAGTAATTCAAAATCGTGTACTTCATACTCGAATGGAACTTTTTGCGGTCATTGCGATGCTGAAGAGTAGTTTGGTGTTTAGCGTGCGCCGTTTACCAGTCACTTAAAAATTAATTAATACGCGATAAAGTTTAATAAGCTCAATATATATATATATATATATATATGTATATTTTATTTTGTAATAACAATTTTTTCTTTCTTATTTCTTTTCGTTGATATCCAACATAGATTCCTAGTTCTTAAAGATAGTGTGGAGTTTATGCCGGAGTTTTTGGTTTTACAAAAGATACTATTAATAAATTTATTGGCTTCTTTTGGTTTTTTTTTCTCTCTCTCTCTTTTTTTTTTTTTTTTTTTATTGATTCTTTCACTTAAACGAAATTCAAGGAAATATGTCCTTCTAAAACGAATGGATACGTATGTTATGATAGACATATGTGTGTGTGTAGATATTGACATAGCCTACAGTATTTTCTTGCATATATAAAAATATATTCTGTACAGTTTTGTATTTTCCTAGTTATTTATGAATAATACGTTGTGAAATTATAATAATATATAAATAACATATTTCTTTGTGCACGAATGAAAGAATCTAAATAGACAAAAGAACTTATCAGTCTGGATATACTTGCAATATATTGAAAGAATTTATATCTTATCAATTATAACGTATTTTATACTTTTTTTTTTCTTATATGTATATTAATTTTCTCAATTAATTTCTATTACACTTACATTTTCTGTTCAAGATGTGTCAGTATAATAGATGCATTTATATTTGAACATTAGTTGTGTGACACACAATTTGCTAAATACACATTTCGATTCAACAAGAAGAAGCAGTTATAGAGACTAAATTAAAAAAAAGTGTCAGGCATTCCACTTTATCTTTTCTTTATGGATTTAATGATGTAAATGTGCTTTTTTTGTTTTAATGCGATCACGGAATTAAAGTGTAGTGTTAATTTTTAATTGGAGATTTTTCACACTGTCAAGATTCTGTAAACAAATAGCAACAAATTAAATCGACAATTTTTATATTTATAAATATATACTATAAAATTACCATATCCTTTATATTCTTTTTTTTTTTTTCTGCAAACTGTTACAAATATTGTTCCGATGGTGATCTCAAAAAAAAAAACACTGACTACTAAATTTAAGATTTAGAGTGCTATTTGATTGCAATAAACGGCAATTTTACCTATTTCTCGCTTTAATTTATTCTATTAATAAGATGCCAATCTATATTGTATAAATAATTGAAAAATCCGCGATATATATACAGTAGAACATTATCAAAACAGGAAGCAGCCCATAAATTAATTGGTATATAATTTGTTTGTATATTCATTACTTACTTGTATCCTGATCAACATACATATATTGTATCATTGTTTAGTTATTAGAAATATACAATATTCTCTACAAGCGCACGTATATATGTAACACAAATACAAATCTTATTCTGCAATATTAATAGTAAATGTTAGTGATAATTTAATTTGATATATGTACATATATATAACAATATACTCTGTGCTTAGTATAGCGTATAACAAAATCCATTCAAATTCCATACATTTCATTTAAATATAACTTGTGATCAAAAGTGTTTTTCGTAAATTTTTTTTATTTAAACTGTTTAATTTCCTATTTAAACGCATGGATATTTATACTTTTTGATGAGAAAATAGAAAAGTATTATTCTAAATTTTATTTTTTTTCACACAGCTTCATATTAAATCCTCTCAACGGCGGATTTAAAAATTTATCAATTTTTTGAATCCAATCTCATTCTGATACTAAGTGCAGATATTTGAATATATTACAAAGATGAAAAAGTTTTGTGATCGTATTCTCTTATCTCTCCTTAAAAAAAAAAAAAAAAAACACCTATCGAAGATACGTGCCTTCTCCTACATAATATTGTGTATTTCAAATATCTCGCGTTATACGACGAATCATGATACACTAATCCTTTCACAATCACATTGCCCAATAGCATTTATCAATAATAATCTGGTCAACAGAAAATATAATGTAAATGTTATATGGCAAATAACAATAATAATAATAATGATTATTATTATTGTACATTTATATATTAACACAAATTACAGTGTATCCTATATAAAGTGGCCTTGGGCTGCTTGAAACATGTCGTTTTTCTTGTAAAACATAGAATCAGAGACGTTTTTTCTTATATTCGTCTGTTATTTGTTAAGATTTTATATTCTCTTACATAAAGGATCATTAAAGAAATCGAATAATTTTATTGTGTAAAATGTTTCAACTTTCTTTACATTTTTCGAGTGCACAATTTATAAATGTATCCCGAGATATGTATTTAGCAGTTTGATATACTTTCCCAACAAATGTTTAAAACCGTCATTAACAATATAGTATTTGTTTTTGTATTTGTCACGTTTGCCGAAATATTCGATGCATAAGTGATATTAGAAAGTTTATAAAAGATAATGAGGTGTAACATTTAAGGCTATCCAATATAAACTAATATATATAAAAATGAGAAAAGCGAAAAGAGATATAGATTATACATATATATATATATATATATATATAAATAAATACATATATATATATATATTAAATAATTTAATCCACGTCATATATTAAAGATACATCAAAATATAATATAGAGAAAAACATTTGTATGCAAATTATATATAAATATAACGTTTCTCTTTAAGTAAATACACTTTTTGCTGCACTCCAACTATGTTTCTCACAGGCCAAACAAAAACAATTCTTAAAATATTCGGTTAATTAAAGCTAATCTTTTTATTAAAAGAAATCTAATTTAGAAGTTGTACCCCGATTATATTTTACATTTGTGTGGAGGGCAGTAAACAGATATACATATATATATATATATATATGTATATATTTTTTTTCATAAATATATATACACATATATGTATAAGCAGGATATATAGAAATATTATTTAATAATTTTAAGGAGCAATAATAGTAATAATTTCGCAATTAATAAATATGTCAAAACTGTCTTGTATATGTTGTATTAATTTATTTCTGAATCCTCGTATATATATAAATTATTATATATACAGAAGAAACATTTCGTCTGTGCGAAGAACACGTCTTACACAGCATTCACAATGCCAAGTAACTTTGTTTCGGAATGCTATGTGCTAAATTGTTCTTTTTATTATAAAAATTGTCTCTTGATTGGTACATTATTTCAGAAAACCAGCTTGTCTCTCTTGAAAGAAGAAAAAAACAAAATCTGTGACCGCTGTTTTTCCATAACTTTTGATATCTGTCTCGAGTAATAACATTTATTGTTGTTTTACACATAAACGCTTTATATCTCCTCAACTTTCTACGCAATATTCACACACATGTCCCGTGTTTTTTTTTGTTTTTTTTGTTTTTTTTTTCTCACATATAAAAATATCGTATTACGGTGTGAAAAAAAAAAATGAATTTACACACGATTATTATCTTTAATGGAGATTCTCTAAAAACCATTATTACACCGTAACGTTTTTTATGTGCCATAATCAGTGTGCAATGGTGACAGAATGGTGATGGTTGTTACACATATAACAATTTGATTAATTTATCATGTTTAGTGTTTGTTTAGCAACTGCCTTTGTTTTGTTATTTCAGCCCCATGGACCCATCCGTACCCCCCAAGCACCCAGTAGTGAGGTACGTTTACTGCATACCATAATACCACAAATCCGTATTCTAATTTCACTCTCACTTTGTTTTCCTTCATTTTTATCTCGTATTTATATCCAACTTTTCGTTATCTTTTCATGTTCTCATGTACATTCGTGTTTAAAAACAATGAATTGTGAATTTTTATGCACGTCTCTCTTAATTTTTGAGATAATCCTTGTGACATAGCATGCATATTCCACGAAACGCGAGGCGCCTTTAAATATTCAGCGTTTAACAATAATTTATAAAAAGAAACCAATTATATTTTAACTCGTATACGATTCAGGAATAAAAATTTAGGAAGAGAGAGAGAAAGAGAGAGAGACAATTTGCGTACAATCCACTAACACAAAGATACTACTATTTGTCTGATACACTGTGTATAAAATCTCTGTTAGATTGATATTGTTATCACTATTTTTAAACTTGTTGTCTACTTATTGTCATTTTGTTTGTTCTAACACAAAGATGTAAGTTTTTATCGTTTATTATTGTAAGAGTTTTTGAGATATGTGTTTTCTTCAGGATTATATAATTCGCATATGTATACAATTTGAATATTTTGTGTAACTTACATTTATATACAAATGATATATATACATATATATATATATATATATATATATATACATCTTTAATTTATAAATGTAAATATGTATGCAGCACCGAGGTTGTAATTAAAATTATGATGGCAAATGATTTGCATGCCGAGCATGTATGTTTTACAATTTATATGGAAATTGAAATAAGTTTTTTTTTGATAAATTTCCATTACACACATTATATATGTTTTGAAACTTTATTTATCGGCTTGCAACAACTTACGCACAGCAATTATATAGAGTCTTTTGAAAAACGGATTAAAAACTTTTTTTTTACGCATTTGCAAGCTTGAGGCTTTATTATAATACACACAACATTTTTGTAAAGATCACATATATATATAATTTTTATATCGCTCAATATTTTATACTGATCTGCGTGTAGAGTAATCATATTAATGTTTAAAATAGACAGAATCCCATTTGTTGATCGAAATCTATGTGGATAAATTTTTTAACGATTTTTGTTTCATGCCTACGCATTTAAAAACTATTTTTTTTTTTTTTTTTCACGAACAAAAGATGATTCGGAATCTTCCTACATGAGTTACATTGAGAACAACACTTTGTGCTTGTAGTCATCAACTATAAAAAAAAAAACCCCAAAACAAAGTTATTGCTAGAATCGCTTTAGATGTTGGACAGATTTAAGATATCTTTTTGTTACAGCGGAGCTACAACTAACGACGAACAGGTTAAGCCACGCAGTTTGCGCTTCACGTGGAGTATGAAGACTACCAGTAGTCGAGATCCTAACGAAATCATGTCTGAGATTCGAAAGGTATTTTAAAGAAGAGAAAACAATTATATACTCTGGAGTATATTATTCATTATCTCAATATCGATTATTTTTTTTACATACGCGTATATATAAAGACGTTATTTTAGACAAAATTGAAACAAGTTTACATTATCGAATTTGTTTTTTCTTGCAGGTACTGGACGCTAACAAATGTCAGTACGAGCAACGCGAACGATTCCTCTTGCTGTGCGCGCACGGTGAAGCGGCGACGGACAGCCAAGTGCAGTGGGAAATCGAGGTCTGCAAATTGCCGCGACTCTCTCTGAACGGAGTGCGATTCAAACGCATCTCCGGCACGTCAATTGGGTTTAAAAATATCGCTAGCAAGATCGCGAACGAGCTCAAGCTGTGACTGTCGGCCACGGGCGCCCTAGCCGCCAATCGCGCCAACCCATAACAACCTCGTGAACACAACCACCAAGCGACGGTGGTAACCGAAGAGTTTTACTCTTGTTTCTTTTTCTGGGACTCTGACTCTGATTCTGATACCCAAGAAATATTCGTTTAAAAAAAAACAAATTCCTCCGTCCTAGCCGACGAGCGTCGTCATCAGGCGACAGAAAAAAAGAGAGGAAAGAAGAAAAGAGAGGGTGAGGGAGGAAAGAACCGAGAGAGAGAGAGTCATATCTCTTGTGTCATCTCTGCGCCAAGGAGGTACTGCTATAAAAATTCGTTGAGAAAAAAAAAAAATCCGAAGCTGTGATCTGTTGACGGCTAATACGTATTCAAATACTCCCGAGTGCCAAAATGAATAACTAGATCAGGGTCCTCTCGTTAAACGTCTCGAGAACGCGAGAGCGGGGAAGGACAGAGAGAGAGAAAATTGAAAGAAATAATATAAAAGACAAAAAAAGAGAGAGAGAGAGACGGCTCAGTTGACCTGATCGACCGTACGAAAAAAGCTGGCATAAGACACAATAATCTATATATGTTTAATCTCTATGTTTTTTTTAGTTTTCAAATTTTTCATTGCCGAGAACAGTGGAATGTGCATCCGAGCGAAAGTAATCAGTGTTATTGTGCTTACAGATTTGAATTGCCCTCTTTCGGAATTTTTAAACAATCCATGTCTCATTTTATTTTTCAAACAGTATTATATACGGCTTTGTTTTATTCTTGATGTTGAAGCTGTCTACATTCGATTTGGTGCGTTTTTTTTTTTTTTTTTTCCATAATTCCGAACGCTTTAAATCGCGCACGCATTATCGCTCCATTTCCAAAACGCTGAAAGATTACATATAAAAACAAAAAAAAACGGAACAACAGTAATCACGACAATACATCTTCTGCCATCTAAAAAAAAAAAAAAAAAAAAAAAAAAGAACAAAAACGAAAAAAAAATAGAATTGAAATTCAATCGGATTGTCAAATGTGCCTAATAATGCATCTCTTACATCACGATTATGTTCCTCATTTCCATAAAAAAAAAGAGGAAGTGTGTTCCTTGTACTGTAAAAAAAAAAATACAACCATTTCTATCGTGGAGGAAGTGAATGAGACAGTATAATTGCAACGTCAAGAGAGAAAGAGAGAGAGAGAGAGAGAGTTTTTTTTTCAAAACTTCCTGTTTTTTCCTCTTGTGTTTTATATGTAAAACTTTTATAAGCGCAGGATTTTCTGTAAATACAATTCGACGGAATTTTTATTACAGAACCTGTCGAGATATATGCGTAGTAGAGAGCGTTCTGTAGCGACGAGAATCTACCTTCATTTATCATGTATTAGTCAAAAAATAATATGAATTGTACACTGTTTTAACGTTGCACAATGTGTAACTATTTTTTTTTTTTTTTTTCGAACATTTTTATGATATTTTACTTTTTTTATCTGTAGCAATAAGTTTGAAAATACGCAGCACTATAGACATTAGCCAATTAAAACATATATATATATATAATTATATATAATGTTAATATAATATTTTTATTTCTATCTCACGCAAACATATACACGTACATACATACATGCATAACACGCTCACTCTCAGAGACAAATACATATATAGTATACAAAAAAGAATAATGTGAAGGTAGAAGCAAAGACGTTTATTAACATAATTTAGAAATATACGGCATCGAGTTATACTCAACGTTTGTGAATAACACACGAAGTACTTGATCATTTTCTCACAAAGAGTTGGAATTACACCTTAAACTTTAAACTACATCAGTAATAACAAGAGATCTGTTATTTCTACAAGGAATACGAAAAAATAATATTAAATTTAAGTATCGTTAATTGGCTATAAAAATTGTACTATTTAATCCTTTTCATTCGCAAGAGATATTCGTCGTTGAATGAATTAAAATTTAGGGATTACCGTAAAAAAAAAACAAAAAAAAACAAAAAAAACTAAAAAAAAAAAACAACGTAGGAGAGCGCGAACTAGAGAAGCACCTTGGTGTATATAATAATTATATTACGAAAGGTACTAAATTAATAAGGAAAAGGGAAGAGAACTCCACACACACACCAAGATCATAAAAAAAAAAATATAAAAAAAAACACTTCGAAACTCAAGAGTATCGCAAACTTTTTATATTTGCCTAAGATTAATGAAGTATGTTACTAAAAAATAGGCAAAAGTTGACTAATTTATTTACATACTATAAACTCAAAAAGATGATTTTTCACATTTCTAACACTTGCTACACTGGAAAAAAAAAAAAAAAAAAGAAAAAAAAAACTACAGAGTAACTTCAACGTAACCGACATCGTGTACAATCGCAGTACGTATTCGTGTTGCGAATCGTGAAATGACTGATAGCAACTAAGTATCGGCGCCAATTGTCCGTTACCGAAGAACACATCTTGACAAAAAAATTCTAAGTGCTACAATATATTATTATTATTATAAAATACAGCACTGGCATCGGGACTTACCTTCTTTGTGTATTACCATACCAGTTTTCGTGTCGTCGAATTTACCGCATGAACCAATAAGCGAGATAACTGTAACATAAATGATTATAGTAATAATGTTATCGATTTATATATATTAATGGAAAGAGATGGTCAAGTTTAAAATACGAACATCCGTACACACCCCCACCAAGAAAGAGAGAGAGAGAGCGAGAGAAAGAGAAAATCCCAATCACTGTTAGAAAAAAAAAAAAAAAAAAATTTATATTAGAGAATACTATTAAATGAATCGAGAGTTTCGTTTCTGTTTGTTCCTGCATTAATCACAGAGTTAGTACCTTGAGTACAATTATTGAGCAACGTTGTCATCACTGTGTAAAAAAAAAAAAAAAAAAAAGAAAAAAAAGAATTGTAACCCGGAGAAGAAGCGGTCGTTGTAACGATATGACTATAGAGATACATATACACCGTAATAGACAGACAGACAGACAGAAAGAGAGAGAGTGAGAGGATGTGAGAGAGAGAGAGAAAGAGAGAGTGATTATATTATTAATGTTAACGTAAGAAGCCCTCTTCAAGAGATAGCATTAATGGTATATCCCTGGCATATAGATGAATTAATTATATACTGTAATCTATACATAAACCCACCTTTCGCTCGCTTGCTTTACGAAAATAAATGTATAAATTAACAATCGAATCTCCTCCCGTAACGGGAGGAGGTGATATTGAAATCTAAAGACGTTCATGGTTTTAACACGTGAGAAAAAAAACGGATTTATTGAGAGACAATTTGAAAGAGAGTTGCAGAGCTGCACGGGCGACATTAATTTTAAGATCCAACTCTCGACGTGTCTCAAATGTCGGAGGAGCTTTTTTTGTGATTTTTTTTTTTTTTTTTTTTTTTTCTAAGTACCCGCGCGATATATATATTTAAAAAAACAAACAAACAAACAAATTTCTCTCGTCCGTTGCCCGTATAGCTGTGCATTCGACTCAGCACGCACATAAAAATATTACACATACATGAGTACATACATTTACATACACATGTCAATCTCTGTAGATAGATACATACAAGCTTTGCTAAGTGTTTTCTGGTGATCGGTATCTAGCCAAAATGTAGCAAAACGTTTATAATAAAATGGTAACACGCATTGTTTCCCGATTCAGATTCCTGTCAAAAAACAAAAAACATGCGCGTTCGTCGTCGACACGCTCTAAGTTGTCGATCAAATTGTGTTTCTTTCTTTTTTGGCTTGATCAGCAGTAACCCCGGCGGGGCGGTTGTGATAAAAAAATGCGCCGCCAGAATTTGCAAAAATTTCCACGCATAAAATTTATATCGCGCATGCGATATCACATTCTCACGATAAGAGAAGATACGGACGTTTCTTTTTTTTTCTCCCCCCCTCCCCCCTCAAAATTAATATGTACATATTATATAAATGTATAAATGTGGAAGAAAAAAAAATTAATAATTTTTCCCGAAACAGAGATATCACACACACAGCGTCACGTCTGATTATACGCTTCTCCTAGAATCTAGAGAAAAAAAAAAAGCAGAATTATTATTACAAATATATATCTAGTCATAAAAATTTTTAATATGTAATTTTCACACACTTCTCATGGTTACTTTTTAAAACTATAGAAAAAAAAAAAAGAGAAATTTGCAAAAAAAAGTACAAAACTCGGCTGATAATTTTTAAACGATGAGATGACTACTGTGTGTTGAATCTTACTATAATTAATCTGATGCTCTCCGAAAAATGAATCAATGTTAAATATATAAAATAAAAATTACATTCTCTCTTGAAATTGAAGATCATTGCGCTTGAGGACGTATAGAGGACCAAAAACTATTATCTCGAGAAACAAATTTTTTACAAATCTCACAAGTGGATGAACAGGGTATGTTTTTTTTTTCTTCTTTTTTCTACGCGTCTCTTTTTTTGTTTAAGTATTATATAGACAAAAACCATACGTATATAAGTTTAATTCTTGACATGTTTACATTACAAAACTAATTTGTATACCCAATAAGCTATATACTTTTTATTTATTATACTTGTAAACATACATTAATAAATATAGCCATCATTTTTGTAGATCATATGATTAAATGATTTGATCTTTGTTGTAAAAAAAAAAAAAGTACAAGGAAAAAAGTTATTTAATCGGAATTAATATAACGAAACATGTTTCTGTTTTGTTTAAACATTTTTATTCGTCGGTTTTTTCATTGCGGTTTATATATACGCGAGTTTGTTCGTATTTCTTCTTAAAATCGCATTAGCCGCGTTCAGCAGAACGCTCAATAGTAAACGCTTTGCGTTGTTATTGGGTGCGTTCAGACAACTCAACAGTTGCACAACGTTGAGAGATAATCACTTCTGATTGGATCATACTTTTGGAACCGCATCAGATTTTGAAGAATAGTCCTATCATAAGTGATGATCTCTTAACCGTTGAGTTGTCTGAACGCACCCATTGTCTTATTGCGTATTGGCTTATTCCTCCGGTTCTTTTACGAGTGTAAAGGCCATTGCACGTAGAAAAAGTATAGACGTAATCGCAAGGTCATAAGCAAATTGACCAATCGCTGGTCAGCATTCCAACTAATGGAAGATAATACTGGTCTGTAATTGGTTGATTTGCTAACGATCTTACGGTTACAGTTAAAATTTTTTTACGTGCAATGGCTCTAAAAGCATGCACCAGTCGCGGATAACAAACCGCTTTACGCCTTGTTAAACGCTCGGTTCTACCGAACGTTGGCCGGATACTTTCGCAAGTCATTTCGCAGTTGGTCGGTCGTTATGGCGCCGCACGCTCGTGCTTGCGGTCTCGTTATTTTTCGTCGTTTTCAAGGCACCGTTCAGTATCTTTTGATGCAGACATCATACGGAGACCATCATTGGACGCCGCCCAAAGGTTTGTATATATTCTTATTACATCAATATATTTCGCGAGTAAGACCTGGTCTATGCGGGCCTAAGATTTTGATATTTCTGTTTATTAACAGAAGCGTAACAGAATTATAACAGAAGCATTGAAATCCTATAGTTGAACTGTACCCCAATTCCGGCATAGATTAACAGTTATTACCCGCATAAACAAGGCCAAAACAAGGTTGGTTTGGTTTGGTGCGCTTGTGGCTCTTGGACCTATAACGGTTAGTCCATACGCCATTCTATGACCAAAACAAGGCCGTATTTGCCCGCATAAACCAGGTCTAACAATGAACCGCGTTCGGCAGAAGCTCGGAGAGCTTTTAGTAAAGCGCTTTGCTGTTCTATTGCTCGTCATTGGCTTGTACTTTTTATATTTTTATCAGATCTAAAGGAAGAAGCCAGTCACAGTAATAAACACAAAGCACTTCAATTCCGTGCCGAATTCAGACAAATTCTTGATGACAATAAGCGACAATCAAAATGATTTAAGCGCTGTTCATATTGCGCGATTGTTCGCCTCATTAAAGGCGGATATTTAATTGTTTTAATTGTTCAGTTCGAAATCGTACATGTGCGTAATCAATATTTTTTTAGGTCACGTCGATGCTGGCGAATCGGATATGGAGACAGCCCTGCGCGAGACCAGAGAAGAGGCTGGTTTCGAAGCGGACGATTTGAAGATTTTCGAGAACGTGAAGCACGAGATGACTTACAACGTGAAGGGAGTGCCGAAAATTGTGATTTATTGGCTGGCGGAGCTAATTAATCCAAATAAATGTGTGAGATTGTCGGACGAGCATCAAGCATTCGAATGGCTTCCTCTGCGCGAGGCCTGCGATCTAGCGAGATACGCCGAAATGCAAGAAGCTTTGACAAACTTTAACAAATATATATCTCATCTCGCTTAAAAGTTTCGTATCGCGGTGATTTTCTCCTTTTTTTAGCAGACTATAAAGCAGTGATCACAAAAAAGTCTTCCACCGGAGAGAAAACTGAGGCCCGAATTCATAGTCGCTTCTCAAATCTTAGATCTCGTTTTCAATCTCAAATTTCAGCTCTCGGGTCTCGAATCTCCAACCTCAAATTTCAATGCAGTGGCCAATCATGAAATTCGGTGTTTCATGACTAAGTAGAAATCAGAGAGAAATCTGAGAGCGGCCATCCTATTGTAATTTTTTACGACGGTTTCAACCGCTGGTTTTAGCCGTATTTCCACAAAAGTGGAACTCAAAGGCCGTTCTCCATGAAACTCAAGTCGGAGGTCTCGTGGAACTGATCAATCACGTTGGTCGATTGGCTGATTTGACTCCGCAATTGGTCAATTCCACGAGATCTGCTACTTGCGTTTAATCGCATGTTATAAAGTGTTTACCACTTGTTAACATACGTATTATATAATATTATATATAATATATTAATATAAAGAGAAACTACTAGTTACTTACTTATAATATAAA